GGGGGGGTGGGGAGGGAGAGAGGGAGAGAGAGAGGGAGAGAGAGGAGGTGCAGAGACTATTAGGGGAACACAACAGTGTCAAGAACTAAAGCTAGAGAGGCGGCAGAAGCCAGGGCCAGAAGATCTGTGTCTGTCAGATGTTGGACTTTATATCCAGGTTCAAATGCTGATCCTACCACTTTAGAGCTGTGCTGCCTTAGAAAAGTAGATAGCCTTTCTGGGCCTGCAATCTGCCTCAGGAGATGTTGGTTATTGTTTATTGTCTATGCTCCTATTATACTCTAAGCCACGGGAAGGCGTTGGAAAGCCGTGAGCACCTACTATGTGCATGTCTCTGCATTCAACACGGGGAAGACCCATCTTACTTATGACATGTGTATGTGGCCCAGACCTTGCAGGAGCCCAGGTAGAAAGTGTGACTATGGGGTTTCCAGGTGGGACAGTGTTGGGGAAATGGTAAGAGCCCAGTCCCCCTTTGCTGAAGGTGTACACAAGTCAGCCCTGGAGCACAGAGATCTGAGAACCTAGGAAGGCAGGAGCTCAGCACCAGTGGCATCAAAAAGCCTTCATGTTGGGAGCCACGTGCATCCCTGTTTCTTCTCAATGGAGACTATTAACGGGGGAGAATGGATCAAGTCTTCTCATCAGACTCTTGATCCCGGGCAGCTTTACTTTGCCGCAGTGGCCGTATCAAGCCATCAATTCTCTGAAATCTCCTAGGACACAGACAGTCCTTCACTGGGTAAATCCTTCACATGCAGGAGACAGTCTCTCTCCCAGTGTGATCTCACAGCAGAAGCCATTCTGCAAACAAAATCCACCATGCAGCAATGGCTTGTTTTGGACAGAAGAGGAGTCATTCCCTGCTCTCCCCCTGTGAGTTCTCCCTCTAGTTGCTCTGCCACCACACATGGGACTTTCTCAGGCACAGAGGCTGCGAAGGAGGCAGGAACATCAGCACCCATTTGGAGAAGAGAGGCCTGCAGCTTCCCCTCCCTGTCTCTCCTGTGGCCAGAGCAATAAAGAGGGATCTCTTTTTTTTTCCTGCGGAGCTCCACCAAGCTGGCTTCTAAGCAGGGAGGGGGACTCCCGAGTGGATGACCTCTCTGCATGGGTCACAGGAGAACTGAGGATACAGCTCTGTGGCTGAGTATGGCGGCTCTGCATGACGCCCTTGGCCTGGGTTCTGCCTTCCCCACCGCAGGAGCAGCCTGGAGTTGGCTGCTGGCAGCCTCAGCAACCCAGACCAGCGCCTACGAAGCTGGGCACTGAATATGCAATCTCTAAGTGCTCTGGACTCCTTCAACAGCGAGGACATTATCTTTGATATTATTATATAGTAATGAGAAAATGTTCCTGCGGGCTGCAGCTTTCTGGCAGAGCACACTGTGCTCTGGGAGGAAATACGGTTACAGGAATGATGCTCTTATTTATCTGGCCTCCAGAATATCCAAGTTGACAGCCCAGACACGGGTCTGTGGTCATTTCCTGATCATCCACCTGCTCCTGCCCCTCCCCCTGCGTCTCCTGCCTGTGGGCCTCCTCCTGCTCTTACCTGTCTTCCTTCCACCTTGGTGCTTATGACACACAACTGCTTCAGCACTTTGCTCAGATTCTGTCATTCAATTCTCCTGAGAGCCCAGGAGTTAAGTCTAATACTGCTCTTATCTTATACTACACGTGAGGAAACTGAGGCCTGGCGAGGTCAAGGGACTAGCAAGTGGCAGAGCATGCATTCAAACCCAGGTGATCTGGCTCCCTAACAGGGCTTTGAACCTCACACTGTGCAGCCTCCAGGTCTGGTGATTTTCTGTGTGGTTCTAGGTACAGAACAAACTCTGGGCACTGTGATACTTGGCATCCAAAGCTGGGACACCATGGAACCAAGAAGTACTGTTGACTAGCACCAGCCATATGAGAAGAGGAGCCCCTATGGAAGCTTCAACTCATCCAGAGTGAACAATGTGGTCCCTTCCCCAGGGCGTTCCCAGAGTGTCTCCAGCAATCCCACAGCTTGGGCGTGTGCAATCCCACAGGCTGCCCAGCACCTCCAGAGCAATTCCTGGGATTCTCAGAGCTTCCCACCACCAGCCTCAGTTTGAGCAGCTGACCTCCGAATGACCAGCTGCTGGACACCTGGGCTCCAGGCCAGCTCTCTGGGCATGGTCATCAATGGGCCATAAGGACCCTCTGCAGGAACACTAGCCAACGCGTGCTGGAGTCTGCCATGGTGCATATCTGGGTGTGGACTTGCCTGCCAGTATAAGGGGACAGCTATGTATCTCACCAGGGTCCCTCTCACCAGGTTGTCATGTGGTGTCTTCACTGTTGCCCACTAGAGTGTGCGTAGGTGCACTGTCTAAATATGTGCATGTGTTAAGAAGGGCACAGACTGTGTTAAAGTATCTGTGTGCACACTCTGGTAGGGGTGTGGGCTGAGATATTTGGCTGTATTTCTGTGTGTGCCTATGGGTATTCTCTCTTGTGATTCTCAACTCAGTTGCAGATGACAGCTGCCTTCACTTTGTCCCTTCTGTTTTCAGACCCCAGCAGTGTTCTGAGGTGATATGGGCCCTGCCTTGCAAAGACAGGCAGCTTGATTTTGTCCCCATAGGGTGTGAACCCTTCCAGCTCTCCCTGTGCTCCCACTGGTTTCTGCTCTCCCCTCATGCTCTGTCCTAGCCTTGCTGACATCCCCCCCCCCCCCCCCCCCCCCCCCCGGACACATCAGAAAGGAGCTGGAAACCATCTGGTTGAAACATAGCTCCTGAGCCATGAAAGCACAGTGCCCAGGATCCCCTGGGGCCACGGCAAGGCTGTATCCAAGAACTTCTGTGCCCCACACCTCCATCTCCTGGCCCGAGCCTTTCTTCCCACCCTGGATAGGCACAATCCACGGGTGAGGGTCCTTCTTTCCCTAGTCATTCTGTCTCTGGGTGGTTCCCAGTGGAAGTAGCATTACTCTGGGACATGGCCAATTGCATCTCGAGGCCTCTGAAATTTCAATCATGACCTCTACATTGCCCTACAAAGCTGGGAACACTGGGGACAAAGGGGGCCATTAAACATGTGTATATTTTCAGTTAGCTGGAGAGCAGCACACGAAGCTGCTGGTGGGCCCTCAGGAGAGGAAACACATTCAAAGAGGCAGATGCTGGCCATGGTTTCTGCAGCTTGGCAGGGACAGCAGCTCTTGGCACTTGCTCTTGTAGGCCTGACGCACTGTCTGTCCCACTGCAGCGGTTCTCCTTGCACATGACCTCATGTTCCTCAGCCCCAGTGCCCAGGTCCAGGCCTCCCCAGTGTGTGGCAGCCCTCAGTGCTGCTCCTTGGCCAGGAGGGCCCAGGCAGGCCTCCAGGTAGGGATTTTCTTATGATGGGGAAAATAATCAGAGAGCTCTATGATGTTGGGCAAATTGCTTAAGCCCTTTGTGCCTGGGTTTGTTAACCTATAAAATGGGCAACAATATATACCTCACAGGGTGTGGTAAGACTTAAACAAGTCACTCTATCCTTAGCATATACTGAGAGATACATCGGGCACTATCTGCAGTGTATGTAGGAAGCACTTCATAATTGTTTATTATAAGACCACCCCACAGCCCAACTGGCCTTCTCCCTGGGTCTGCTGGAAGGGAAAAGGAGAAAGACTTCTTTTGCACGGTTTAAGATTGGAAGCAGGCAGGGATAATGCCCTTTCACACTTAGAAAAGACCCCCATTATCCTGGCATTACTGGGGATACCCAGGGTACCTGGGGGATGCAGCCCTGTGTAGGCAGGTGAGGATATCAGCAGAACAAAACTTCCCACCCAGGAAAGGAAGCCTGCCTAGCCCTGCTCCTGCCTTCTCTGGTCTTTATTAAAGGTCAGCAAGAGCAGAGAGGCCCCCTAGAATTTGTCTCTGTTGACAAGGCCAGCAGACATAGGCTCTAAAAATAAACCTTAATAAGATTTTAAGTAAACGCTTTTTCAACAACAATTCAGATCACGGCTCTTTTTCTCTCCTACCGCGCAGTGTGACCTATAGTGAAGCCCACGGCACAGAGCACAAAATGTCAGAGGCTTCAGAGCCCTGGGAGACTCTCAAGGCCTGCTCTGCCTCGGGCCTGCCTTGCCAGAAGGATCCTGAAGCGAGAGCTGCAAACCCACCCCAGGGGACACGGGAACTGCTGTCTCCGCCCCCCACCCCCACCATGGACTGTCTGCACCCAGATTCCAGCAGGCGGAGGGTGTCCTGGCTTTGTGTTCATATCAGCATGGCTCTCTCATAGGCAAGGTCTGGGGGCCACCAATCTGTCAAGTTCACTGCGGGTGCAGGATGCTGCCCAGCGCAGTGTGGGGCTGAAGAACGACGAGAAAGGGCTCCCGGAATGGGGTCTCTGGGGGCAGCACACACGCAGGATGCGGGGGGGAGACATGCAGCCAGCGACGTCTGCGGAGATGTCACTCCTGGTCCTTCTGAGAAGTGAGAAAAGGTCACAGGGCTGCTGGAACGGCTGTGGGCAGCACCAGCTTTTCTGGGCCATTCCATCAAGGGGGAGGTGCCGTGGGTGGGGAGAGAAGGAAGAGGTGGGGTGTGAAAAGAGGCGGGGAGAAAGGAGAGAAGACGGAGAGGAAGGAGGAGTCAAAGGCGGGGCGGGGAGGGGGCTACCTAGGCTGCACGGGTTGCTGGTGCATCCTGCGCCCTTTGTCGCCTAACACGCCAGTCGGGGCGGGGGGCGATGTCCCCAGATTGGGGCAACTGGAGAGGGGGCGCAGGAGCAGCGGGCAAAGCGATCTGCGGGGCGCTGGTGGGAAGAGGAAAACCGAGGGGCCGAGCACCTCTCAGCGGAAAGGGGCCGGGCAAGCGGGGTTCACTGGCGCTCGCACCTGCGCCCGCGGCGCCCCCTGCCGGCCGCCCCAGCACACACTCGCGTTGTCTCCAGGCTTTCCATTGAAGGGTGGAAGGGCCCGGGTCCTCCCTGGAGCTGTGGTCCAGAGTGAGATAGTATTGTGCTCTCGCCTCTTTCTGGTTTGGAACTTGAGGGTGGAAAAGATGCATTCCCTCATAATTAATTTAGGTGGCTGTCAACTGTGGCCACCGCTGGACCCAGGCGAAGAGCACAGACTGAGAAATTGAGGTGAGGGAAAGGAAATACTGACCACAGCCTACATGGGCCGAGAGTAAAACCTTGCTGCATCTCCTGCCGGGTTTGGAGCCAGTGGGCCGCTGGGCCTTCCTGACCGTAAGCACCAGCCATCTCCTAAGCATTTTGGGTGGCCTTTCTTAATTCCCAGCATCACCCCGTACGTTAGCTGATATTAACCCCATTTTATAGATTTTTTTAAAAATCCTATACTTCAAAGAGTTGATTAAGTAGCTTTCTTGTAGTCTCACAGCCAGAGCAAGCAGAGGTGGGATTTGAACCTGAATCTCTCTGACTTTGCCATGTTATTGCAGGTACAAGGCAGCCCTGCTTACACACGGCCCCCCACGATTCCTTTGTGAAGGCGTCCCAACATTTTCAACTTTCTCTTCACCCTCTGTCACCTACTTCAAACCTGCCTCAGGCACTCGTTTGCCTTCTCTACCTCACTTTTCCATTATAATGTGGTCTATGAGAAGGATCTGGAACTAGTTCACACTAGGGTTTCAGTGACTGGTAACAGCTTGAAGTGTCCACCCCCCCCCCAATTTCCAAGATTTGTCTTTAGAGTAGAATCTAAGCTTCAAATTAAATAATGGAAATTCTTCGGGTAGTTGATTTGACAGCCAGGAATGTGGGGCAGTATCCTGGGCCCAGCAAACCCTGCAGGTCACCCCCCCCACCCCCTTCCTTAGCACATAGGTAAGTCCTATTCTCCATTCTGACTATGTGCAAAGAAGGTGAGTCTGCAAGAGGAAAGTGACAGGCCCTTTGCTGAGAACCCACTAAGTCCTAACTTGCCCAAGGCAATGCAGCTAGATTCGTATCCATTCATTCAGTTAATCATTCATTAAGCATATTTTTAATTTTTATTTTTTAAAGATTATTTTTATATGGAGACAAACTAGAATCCTTCAGTCCCTCGCTACTCATGTTCCCAAGGGAGCGAATGGACATGTGAACCATCACAACAGTCAGGTGTTGTGTAATGGACGCTGCCTAGGGCCTCATGGGTGAGCCTCCTTCAGAAGCCCTGCCTCATGAGATGAGGCCTCTTTAATATGTCCCCAGACTCTCCAGTGTGGGCCTCCCGACTGCACTGCAGCATTCTGAGAATTACTGGATCATTGTAAAGTGACTTGCATCTCTTGGTACATTTGGGCGGCCTAAAATGTACAGGAATCATCATTTTTCTTTCCCAGTGCAACAGAGGATGATTTAAAAATATGCTTGACTTGAAGAATAAGGATAAAAAAATAAATAAATAAACGTGGGAGCCCAAGGTAAAAATGGAAAACAGATGAAATCCAAAGTATTTTCAAGGTGTCTTTTTCCTCTGTGTTTCTATTTTGCAGGTTTTAAAAGCAGAATTAAAGTGTAAAGCAGAGGGAAATTTCTCTGATGCGGCATTTACATAAGAAACACATTCAGAAAAAGAGGCTGTGATTCTGAAAGTGTCCTTATTATACTGCACTAAAAATTTCCATGGGGATGGGGGAGGTTTAAATTAGTTGAAGAGAGGAGGAAATAAACCCCTCTCTTCAAAATGTGAGTCTCTCCCAAACCCAAAATTCCACCTTAGGAAATGGCCACATGGTGATCAAGAGCAGACAGAGCCCTCATTGTGTAAGGGCTCCACCTTCTCAGAGCCTTCAGTACAATTCACTGGCTCCTCCTACATCCGCTTCACAAGTCCTGACATTGAACTTGACGCTAAATCACAGACCTCAGCACAATTCACAAGGAGGTCCTTGTTTTCAGTGGTTGTGCATCTTGCTGTAGAAATGTATCCACACACCACTTAATAGACTTGAGGAGTCAAAGATAGTGTGAATAGCATAAGATGCCACAATTCTGCATTATTTGTTTGTATCTATTTTCTCTGACATCTATCACATATTTTCCTACTAAATTGAATTCACATAGAAAGAAAATACCGTAAACACAGTATTTTGGTTATCTATCACTGCATATTTGAACTACCCTAAACTTAGTGGCTTCAAAAGTAATCATTTTATCATGCATTGTGATTTTTGTAAATCAGGAATTAGGACAGGGCCCAGTTTCTCCTGCTCCATGGATGTATTAAATGGGTCACTTGGTGATGAAGGTGGTCAGACTTCTTAACAAGACAGTTTAGGGCTCTAAGACCAAGTGTTCCTGGACACAAAGTCCACACTGTGGTCCTTATTAAAGACCATTTTCTGGAATCCCAATACCTCCAACTTCCTCATTCTGTCTTCTCAATGATGAAATTTCCACAGAGATGGATTTAGATATGTAAGTGGCTAAGTCATTTGTGTAGCATACTTATTCTCAAAGTATGGTCCAGGGACTAAGGATATAGGTATCATGGGGCATCACCTGAGAACTTGCTAGAAATCCTAATTCTTGGATTCCAGAAATTGGTAGGACCCAATAAGCTATATTTTGATAAGCCCTCCAGGTGATTTGATGCATATTAGAGTTTGAGAACAACATTTCCAGCACATGAAAATCAACTACAAAACTGGATCTCACCCCAGAGAATCTATTGGTTATTCTGCAGAGCCCCAGGTATCCCACTAATTTTAAAGACATTCATAGAGATTCTATTATGCAGACAGAATTGAGAACATCTGGGCTAGAAAACAAAATTAATTCAGCTCAGGTAGACTAACTCAGGTAGGTAACTATAAAACAATTTAATAAAACACCACAGGCTGCTGCAGATTCTGGACAGATAATCAGAACAATGTGCACCCTGGGGTTCTGGGGTCTGGGTTGCAGAGAGTGGATGATACAGAAGTTAAGTCCTTACTCATCATCCTGAAATTCAAACCCTGCACCCTAGGGCTCAGGTTTATACTTCACAAATATCCTAGGTTGCACACTGCATAGTCCAGAACCTGATACTCAAAGTGAGGTCCCTGGACCAGCAGCATTGACATCAACTGGGAACTTGTCACATAAAAAAATCCAGACTACACCTACCCCTAGTGAACCAGAATCTGCCCAGAGACTGAAGGCACAGCACAGTTTGAGAAGCTCAGCTGTTGAGCAAGTTTCATTCTTCCTGTCTACTTCCTGGGTTTGACAGTATCTCCAGGTTCCCCAGATAGACAGAGGTCCCCAGGTACTAAAGCTATAATGATTTAACTGAGACAGGGTATTGCCTGAGGAGTCTGGAACACACAAATTCTACTCGTATTTTTAATAGCTACATTATGAATTTGGTGATAAATAATAAAAATACAATTTTTTGTTGGTTTTTAGCCTTCTGATGATTATTACAAAGAACAATGATTAGCCCTACATCGACTAAAAAATCTTGAAATACCCATCTGAAGCCAGGTAAAGGGAAACAGACTCATTGCTTAACATCAGGAGTATCTACTAATTTAAATTTCTTTACCTCCTGCCCACTAATGGGTAGCCCCAGTTCATTTTTCACAGCTTTGGGCCCAGCTCAGGCTAGGATGAAGCACTATTTTGAATTCAGGTGTTAATGACCTCTGCCACACTGTTCTTTGGTTCTTCAAAATTACAAGCCCTCAGCCAGCTCCTACTATTTTGCCTAAGGGGATTTTTTTTATTGTTGTTTTCCTGTCTGACTCTATGGAGAGTTAATGGTCCATTCCACTAAGATTTTTACTAGTGGGTTTGGAGTTCACCCTGTGATATGAATTGCTCCTCAGGGCTGGGAATCAAACCCAGGTACTCACACATAGTAGGCAGGTACTCTACCACTGAACTACATCCCCAGCCTTGGTATGGTTTACTCAACTAACTGAACTCTTAGCATTGGTCATACCACTGATGCCAACCATGGTAAGAAAATGGAAGTCATCCAAACCCCTTCCCATATGCAAGA